TAACCTGCAATATCCATATAACCTCGATGTACACAAACTAAATATGCAGCACTTGGTGCCGACCTTGCCTACTGCCGAGAGTAACGTTTTCAATGTTGCACAGGATTGTGGAAACACTAGGGGTTTCTTAACTATGTTAGAGATGTGTAGATATAGAGATACAGAAATGGTTTCAAAAGATTACTAGCTGAGATTTCCTCACACATTGTAATTCATACAAGTCATTACTTGCACCAGAGATATATATCACATCAGGTGGTTTAGATAAAGACTTGATCTGTGTTTTAGCAAAGTTCAGCACTCTTTCTCATAGTTTGAATATACAAAAGCTACGTTAGAGTAAAAAATGATGCGAAAACAAATATTCATCGGTTGCTACTATACTGTGACCTTAAAGAGGAATTAGTTGTTGAGGACGAGTACCAATTTGTACTGGTCTGTTCATATTATAAGCAAAGTTGAATCACAATTATTCCACAATATTACCATAAGCATCCTCCTCGACAGAAATTAATTGCACTAATGTCACCTACAACACATTCAACAATGAAAGGTCTTGCTTTGTAACTGAAGAGAAATGTGTGTAAATTAAAACAAACAAACCAACATATGTATTATGTATTGCGTCACATGTTATGGAATAATTGTACATCAATTGTGTGAGATCCACAGATAGAATGTATTGTACTCTGGTCCTCGATCGACGCGAGGCCTTCAATACTGAAATCAAGAATACTGAATCTTAAAAGAAAAGGCAGCCGTTCTATATTGTCCTCGCGTTATTTTACCAAAGTAACGTTTAAACAGTACTAACAACATTAATTAAACCGAGTCTGTCTCTATAAGTAATTTGAAACCTACTTGGAAATTATTCGTGTACAGGTACTTGAAAATTCGGAAGATAGGTTATTTTGTTATTTATTTTAGTTATTTAAGTTTTGGTAGTTTTATGTTTAACGCCGCACTAATCAATATACCAGCAATATGTCGGCGACCTGTAGATAATCGGGTCTAGGCCAGACAATCCAGTGATAGTCATTGTGAGCATCGATCTACGCAATTGGGATACGCAAGTGAGTCTGACAACCCAATCCCGTTAGTCGCCTCTAACGACAAGGGCTGGGATCGTCACTGGTTGTCTGTAAATCGTAACACCAAAACACATCCTATAGTTTGCACGTGCCGCACGCAGTAGTGCAAAACACATACCGGTACATCAAATGTCATTCCTGATTTTGACACTTTCAAGGAAGGTCGCTTAACTCTGTGGACCATTAGTCCTGTCAATCTTATTGAGTCTCCTTATCATACAGTTGTGATTTACTTAATGTCATTCACTGTTGTTTGTATATGAAATAGCGATGGGTGTCTACTGGCTATTTGAATGCGTTCAGTGTTTCACAGTCTGTGATCAGCAGACCAAGGAACAGTTTCCATCAAACCCAAATGTTGACGATCGACCCGTTCAGGGCGTCCCAGTCAACGACAAGAGTATAGGATCGATTGATCCAAAACCAGGCTCTGCGAAATCGAGTTCACAAGGCGAATCAAATGTGCTGCAAATTTTCATCAGGTTTCGGGTCAGACGATTAGAAATCGTGTTGGGCCGCCCCTTTCAAATCGTCTCTTCTCAGCCCATTCTTGCCGTAAAAGGAGACTATGCTTGTCGTAAGAGGCGACTAACGCGATCGGGTGGTCAGGCTCGCCGACTTTGTTGATGAATGTCATCGATCCCAATTGCGCGGATCGATGCGCATGATGTCAATCACTGGATTATCTGGTCCAGCCATTATTATTTACAGACCGCCATCATATAGCTGTAATATTGCTAAGTAAAGCGTAAACAACAAAGAAACAAACAAATCGTCATATTGCTTCGAAACTGGTGTAATCGTCGCTCGTCGCTCGTTTTCAGATGAGAATCGATTCACTTTGCACGTCCTTAATAGGTGTGGTCGTGTCTGGCAACGTCGACATGAACGTCAAGCCAATGTCAACCCGAGACCTCAGTTTTGTCGGTGGATCGCTTATGGTGTAGGGTGGCATCACTTAGACTGACCAAACCCCACTCCATATTGTGTAAGGGACATACCGACACCCTTTGTTGTCCCGTTTGCCAGGCGTGTGGGTCGACGTCAATGCCACCTCAAGCAGCACACCATCCATAGAATGCCATGGCCAGCAATGAGAACAGACCTTTCCCCCACGGAGACATGATAGGGATGCCACCATAGACGATACTATAACTATATAACACTAGAGAACTGTCAGAACTACATACTGTCAAAAAAATACTAATTAAATCATGTATTTTCATACCATTTAACATGTCCTCCTATATATACTTGTAGTTGTTGCACAGCAACATGATGTCACATTTTGGTACAAAGTATCGCGGAACACAGAATCTTCGGTGAATCGTTACAGCTTAACATCACTGCCCAATATGTCTGAATGTATTTATATCTTATTTAATCGTGTTTCATATTGAATAATCGTATCAGAAACTGAGATGACATCCTCAGCAAATCGTTATATTAATATTTCCGTAATGTCTTCAGCTAATCTGTCTGTTGCTATTTATAATTTGAAACCGGATATTTGTCTAGGTTTTATAAAAATGCAAGACATGATGTAAAATCTCCAGATGAATAATATGGGTCACTGGGTCACTGTGTGTCAGACTGACAGATCCTTCAACGTGGCAGCCAATGGCACACAGACCACAGGTTAATCAGACTTCCGTCTCCGACACAGATGGGACCTGATGTCTATCCTACCGTCTCACCGACACGCATGGGGAATTATCATGGGAATAGATCAAGGTGCGAGTCCAGATAGGTCAGTATGGAAAGTGTGTCTGATTACATGTCACAACTTGGCGGACACCTCAACCTGCAGTCTCAAGGTGTCCAGACACCCTCCGTCAGGGGCAGTCAAAACATGAATTGTGTGTTCATTTTCAAACTTCAAAAATTTTTAAGCTCCCCAGTTTCTGGTCTTGCGAATATCACATGCACACTGTGAGATAATGTCCACCGGCTGATAAGTATAACGTTCCCCATGGTGAAGTGAATAATAAATTATGATTAGCATCACCGTTGGTCACGACATTTTGCTTAAGTCGACCTCGTGCTGCACGCGCATGCCACTCCACCCTTCGTGCACAATTACATTCATATCATCACTGACGAGTCAGAAACACGTGTTCTCGACAGGCATGGTCAGAAATGTCACAACCTGGATTATGTTTATAGCCAAGCACTCTGGGATTACCGAGGATAAAGAAAAATAAAGCACATATATTCACCGCTCCACGTTTTCAGACAGTGCAGCAGATATGCGGCTCATTTTGTTTCAGTATATTAGATATTTCCAAAAGGAAGAAAACACTGCAACCAACGCAAAAGGCACCACTTCAACAGTTAGTGTTCAAACACCAATTCGACGGATAATGTTGTTTTACGCCGCTCTTAGCAATATTCCAGTTTATCGGGGCGGCCTGTAAATAAGCAAGTCTGGGCCACACAGACAGTGGTCAACATCATGAGAACCTGTCCTCGCCTTCGGGGTCGTGACACACAATGTTCCTTTGTAACCACGTGATCCTCTTTAGACGAATGTCACGACCAGCCGGGGGCACTGGACACCTTGTATGCTCCAGAACTCAGCAGCACGTGGGTGGGTGTATGAAAAGTTCCATGGCCAAATAGCTTTTTGAGTTGTGCCTTGTAAACGGAATAGGACGGGCGGAAAAAACAACTCATCCACTTTAATTAGAACAATTGACTGACGTGCTTATTTTCAAAGACAAATGAAAAATCGATGTGTAACTTTTCTTTATTAATCGTTTTGAAGGCAAATTTGTACATGGCATGAGCTTTGAAATAAACGTGAATACTTTCAATGTTGTCTTTTTATCAACAGCATGGCTTAATATCTTCGCCGCACCTTCTACCCGCTCGAATTGGAGATTACAATCTTCATTCTTCAGTTGATTAAATGCAAATTTACAGGTATCTATCGTCTTGATCTCCAACACTTCCCAGGAAGTAACGTAACCAGGCAGCTGTTGCCCTCGTCCGAGATCTCGTCCAAATTATTTCAGGGTCCGTATTTATGAAGATGGTGAATGGTCAGTTCCTTCACAAATCTCCATCGACAGTGCAGGTAGGCATGTGTGTTAACTAGAGACACTATAGATGTTATGTAAATGTCCCAGTACCAATGACTGGTGTACATATGAAACATGTTGTTAAGGTAACGTATGGTTTGGACTAGATGTACTATTAGTCAAGTGGGTATGTGCGTATTGTGCCTTTTATGTTTAAAGCATGACTCTTGGCACAATAATAGTTGATTATGCAAACAATGGTTTTAGAGGTGAAGCCACTTCATTTTCTATTTCAGTCGGCCATGGTGGCCATTTTCAAACATATGTTCTACCAGTAGTTATTGTATTGTTAGTGAATTTGTTTGTTTGTGTGCTGTATAACGCCGCGCTCAACAATAGTCCAGCTATATGACGGCGGTTTGTAAATAATGGAGTCTTGACAAGACAATCCTGAGACTGACATTATGAACACCGATCCACGCAATTGGGATACAATGACATGCATCAACAATGTCAGCGAGCCTGACCATCCGATCCCGTTAGTCGCCTCTTACGACAAGCATAGTCACCTTTTACGGAAAGCATGGGTTGCTGAAGACCTTTTCTATCCGGGATCTTCACGGGTCATTAGCTATTGTAGGAATAGGATTGATAGGGTATTCGTGGCCGTATTCCTTAGTGAGTTGGATTTTACTCCGCTTTAGCAATATTCTAGCAGTATCATGGCGGAGGACACCGGGAGTGGGCTTCACACATTGTACTCATGTGGGGAATCGAACCCGGACCCTCGGCGTGACAGGCGAACGCTTTAACCACTATGCTATCATCCCCCAGGTAGTTCTAGTGATCCAAGAAGCCACGTGTAAGCTGTGCCTGATATGGTTATCCTTGACTTTCCGTGTATTATCATCGACGTTATAGCTTCATATCTCTCCATCACTCCAGAACAATGGCGTCACGACATTTATTTACTGCTATACTTGGACTTTCACTGTTGGTGACGGTGAGAGGACACGGCCGACTGCTGGTTCCCCCTTCGCGTGCGTCCATGTGGAGACAAGGCTTCAACACCCCAGCGAACTACAACGACAACCAGCTGTTCTGTGGAGGCTTCTCTGTATGTACCACAACCTGTCCTGTAGTTGCTTCATGAATACCCGCTTTGTTTGTTTGTTTGTTTGTTTGTTTGTTTGCTTGCTTGCTTGATTAACACCGCACTCAGCAATGTTCCAGCTGATGGCGGTCTGTGGATAATCGGGTCTGGATCAGACAATCCATGGGCATCGATCTTCGCAAATGAGATACGATGACATGCATCAACCTAGTCAGTGAGCCTGATCATCCGATCACGTTTACTCGCCTCTTACGAAAAGCATAGTCTCCTCTGGCGGCATGCATTGGTTGCTGAGGATCTATTCTCTACCCGAGTCTTCACGGGTTGAATACCCGCTCAGAGGATGGTTAGGGTTGGGACACCAGAACCTCATGCCAATGTAGTTACAGTGTGTGCACTGGTCGATTGCAATGCATAGCGCTCTGTCGGCGTATGTCGATAATCATGCTATCAATCACTGGTCTTCCTGGCATTGAATCGATTATTGGAAAATGGTCATATTATTGGAAAATGGTCACATTATTGGAAAATGCTGATATTACAACCTTCGACGTAAAACAACATTCACTTCACTTTGAGGTTGCCTGAGGTTTGAGTATATTCGCGGTACTGTTTGAAGTTTTGCGTCAGTTGTTTCAGCTGGTATTTTGTCTCGAGATTGATTTCAGCTACAACTACAAAACCAAATATAATTTTTATTATTTAAAACCGTGAGCCTGAATTTTTTAAAAATAGAAAAACACCTTGTAACAATGTAATTTTTGTGGAAGGCAATTTCTTTTTTGCAACAGTCTAAATCATAATTATTGTTTTCAAGAATATTCGGGGACAATTCATTTGTTTCAATAATATCCCGAACCACAGTTTTCCTCCAGATAGTTGCAAGTTCTTGTCAAATATCATATGAAACGAAAAACCAGAAGAAGAACTTGAAAGGGTAGTTTAACATTTAATAACGATCATTGATTTCAATTTCTGAATTTCAATATGAATGAGTTACTTTCCAAACAAAATCAAATGATTTAATTTTCATAAAATTACAAAAAGGATACGATTTCTAGTTTCCTGGTATATATACATATATCTTCACATCAATAACTACATGTCGAATCTATACCTTCAGAATCAACAGAGCCATGGCGGTAAATGTGGCGTGTGTGGCGATCCCTGGCAGGGACCACGTGACCACGAGGCAGGAGGAAAATACGCCACGGGAACAATAGGCCGAACGTATTTTCAAGGCCAAAAAGTCACCGTTACCGTGGAGATAACAGCCAATCATCTTGGCTGGTTTGAGTTCCGCCTGTGTCCTGTAAATGACGTGAAGGTCAGGGCCACACAGGAATGTCTAGATAGACATCCACTGGAGCTGGCAGATGGGGCGGGAGCGAGATACAAAATTGGTTCAGAAAGTAAACAATATGACGTTGACGTCATCCTGCCTTCCAATGTCACCTGCAGCCAGTGTTTCTTGCAGTGGAGGTACCACACAGGTACGATATGGGGACATTTACTATGCATCGTTGACATTGTAAACATTTGGGAAAAAAACATGTTGCCAATTTATACCTGTGACATATAGAAATTTACATTGTAGACATGTGGACATTTACATTGACGACAAGTGAACTTTTACATTGTAGACACACACATTTACATATTGACGACATATACCTATTTACATTGTGGCATGTAGATATTTACACCGTAGGCATGTGGACATTTACATTGACGACAAGTGAACTTTTACATTGTAGACACATATATATTGACGACATATACCTATTTACATTGTGGCATGTAGATATTTACACCGTAGGCATGTGGATATTTACATTGACGACAAGTGAGCTTTTACATTGTAGACACACACATTTACATATTGACGACATATACCCATTTGCATTGTGACATGTGGATATTTAGACCGTAGGCTTGTGGATATTTACACCGTAGGCTTGTGGATATTTACACCGTAGGCTTGTGGACATTTACATTGACGACAAGTGAGCTTTTACATTGTAGACACATATATTTACATATTGACGACATATACCCATTTGCATTGTGACATGTGGATATTTAGACCGTAGGCTTGTGGATATTTAGACCGTAGGCTTGTGGATATTTACACCGTAGGCATGTGGACATTTATACCGTAGGCATGTAGACATTTGCGATGAATCACATCGATTGAGTGGTTGTGGTTACTGTTGAATAAAACATATTGATATTGGTTATGACAACTTTAGAAATACCATTGTGTAGACTTTCAAGAGGATTACAGTCAAGAGACAGGTCATGGATCTCTTTTACATCCAATATTGCAGGAAACAGCTGGGGTACTGACCCTGACGGCACAGCATGTACTGGGTGTGGCCCGCAGGAGGAGTTCTATGGCTGCTCAGACATTGCCATTCTGCCCAGTGACGAGGCGACCACAACACCCCCACCTTTTACCTTCACGCCCAAACCAACCACATCAACGGAACAACCTGGTACTTGTGCAGCACGTGCAGTGACAGCAGACGACATTGTCAGTAGCACGTGGTGCTCGACCAAGTGTGTAAGTGGGCGTTGCAAGCAGGTGCTCTTGTGTGTCGACACATAAACGATGAATGTGGCAGTCAGCAGAATCTAGGAATTCATTCCAATTTGGGAGAAAATCAACGTTTTCTGATTTGGTTTTTGAAGGTAGACTGGAAACCTGTCAGTTGCATTTGGACAAACTGAAACCCAGATGTTTTGTAACCAAAATTGTCATGAGATCGTAGAATTCATATTATTAATTTCATCATCGTTTGTGTTCTTTCTTTCAAGCCATGTGAGTTTTTGTATAACTCAAGACCAACTCCAATAATAGTTTGAAATAAACCTGAAAACAAATCATATCCACTTTGTTCTTTTTACAAAACTTTAGTCACATCTGTGAGGCTGATAAATATAATAGAGCGTAGCCTTGAGGTAAGAACGCATGTGTTCCTCACGCTGACGACCCCGAGTAGATTCTGGCATGGGTACAATGCGTGAAGCCTATTCTTGGTATCTCCTGCCATGATGGAGGCTAGAATGTTGTTGAAAGCGACCAAAAAAACGTATGTTACTCACTCACTGATCTTGATGACGGTGGCCTTGGGGATTTGTGAACATTACTCCCTAAAAATAGATACCTAGTTGATGACTACGTACTTATTAACAACCGAGTTAACTGGATGTTTGCATGAATTTCATTTGAAGACGTGCACGTGCAATTAGTTACACCTGCCGCGTATCGCGTGACAGCACGTGAACTAGCCGAGAGCCGCCATGGCGGTCCAACAGTCGTGTCTTCACTTTAGGATCCCATCGTGGCTTTTGGCTAAACTTGAATAGGTGTTTGGATTTATTCATATCAATAGGTTCAAGAACGATATTGATATTATATCTAAACATACACATGGTAATCTAAACATACATGTGGTACATCTAAACATACAAGTGATACATCTAAACATACAAGTGGTACATCTAAACATACACGTGGTATATCTAAACATACATGTGGTATATCTAAACATACACGTGGTATATCTAAGCATACAAGTGGTATACCTAAACATACACGTGGTACATCTAAACATACATGTGGTACATCTAAACATACAAGTGATACATGTAAACATACAAGTGGTACATCTAAGCATACACGTGGTATATCTAAACATACAAGTGGAACATCTAAACATACACATGGTAATCTAAACATATATCTGGTAAATCTAAACATACATGTGGTATATTTAAACAAACACTAGGTATACATAAGCATACAAGTGGTATATCTAAACATACACGTGGTATATCTAAGCATACAGTAGTATATCTAAACATACACGTGGTATATCTAAGCATACAAGTGGTAAAACCTAAACATACACGTGGTACATCTAAACATACACCTGGTATATCTAAGCATACAAGTGGTATACCTAAACATACATGTGGTACATCTAAACATACATGTGGTATATCTAAACATACAGATATACCACATGTATGGTTAGATATACCACGTGTATGTTTAGATGTACCATGTGTATGTTTAGATTACCACGTGTATGTTTAGGTATACCACGTGTATGTTTAGATATACCACTTGTATGTTTAGATGTACCACGTGTGTGTTTAGACGTACCGCTTGTATGTTTAGATATACCACGTGTATGCTTAGATGTACCACGTGTGTGTTTAGATGTACCACTTGTATGTTTAGATGTACCGCATGTGTGTTTAGATGTGCCATGTGTGTTTAGATTATCATGTGTATGTTTAAATATACCACTTGTATGGTTAGATGAACCACATGTGTGTTAAGATGTACCACATGTGTGTCTAGATGTACCACTTGTATGTTTAGATATACCACATGTATGTTTAGATGTACCACATGTATGTTTAGATGCACCACGTGTATGCTTAGATGTACCACATGTGTGTGTTTAGATGTACTATTGTATGTTTAGATTACCGCATGTGTGTTTAGGTATACCACTTGTATGTTTAGATTTACCACGTGTATGCTTAGATGTACCACATGTGTGTGTTTAGATGTACCACGTGTTTGTTTAGGTATGCCACTTGTATGCTTAGATGTACCACGTGTATGCTTAGATGTACCACATGTATGTTTAGATATACTACGTGTATGCTTAGATGTACCACGTGTGTGTTTAGGTGTACCACTTGTATGTTTAGATGTACCGCATGTGTGTTTAGATGTGCCTTGTGCGTTTAGATTACCATGTGTATTTTTAAATATACCACTTGTATGTTTAGATGTACCACATGTATGTTTAGATGTACCACATGTGTGTTTAGATGTACCACTTGTATGTTTAGATGTACCACATGTATGTTTAGATGTACCACGTGTTTTTTTAGGTATACCACTTGTATGCTTAGATGTACCACGTGTATGCTTAGATGTACCACATGTATGTTTAGATATACTACGTGTATGCTTAGATGTACCATGTGTGTGTTTAGATGTACCACTTGTATGTTTAGATGTACCGCATGTGTGTTTAGATGTGCCATGTGTGTTTAGATTACCATGTGTATGTTTAAATATACCACTTGTATGTTTAGATGTACCACTTGTATGTTTAGATGTACCACTTGTATGTTTAGATGTACCACATGTGTGTTTAGAGGTACCACATGTGTGTTTAGATATACCATTTGTATGTTTAGATAGAACACGTGTATGTTTAGATGTATCACGTGTATGTTTAGGTATACCACCTGTATGCTTAGATGTACCATGTGTGTGTTTAGATGTACTACTTGTATGTTTAGATGTGTGTTTAGATTTTCCATGTGTGTTTAGATTACCATGTGTATGTTTAAATATACCACTTGTATGTTTAGATGTACCACATGTGTGTTTAGATATACCACTTGTATGTTTAGATATAACACATGTATGTTTAGATGTACCACTTGTATGTTTAGATGTACCGCATGTGTGTTTGGATTTGCCATGTGTGTTTAGATTACCATGTGTATACCACTTGTATGTTTAGATGTACCACATGAGTGTTTAGATATACCACTTGTATGTTTAGATGTACCACTTGTATGTTTAGATGTACCACATGTGTGTTTAGAGGTACCATATGTGTGTTTACATATACCACTTGTATGTTTAGATGTACCACTTGTATGTTTAGATGTACCACATGTGTGTTTAGAGGTACCATATGTGTGTTTAGATATACCACTTGTATGTTAATTAAAGGGGCACTGATCTAACGCAATTCCCCGGGACTGGTTGTTGGCTTTGTTATTGTTTTTTCCCAGTGAGTACCCGTATGTATAGCAGAAATCTAGACTAGTTCGCGACCTCTGCTGCGCCATTCGTAAGCGCATTAGTCACTTTTATGGATACCGGTAGTAATAAGGGCGTATGGTCACATTGCTCAACAAAATTAAATACAGTTTTCGAGATAATAAGGAAATGTAGGTATCTTTGTGGGTAGCATAGGTAATGGTGGCGAAGTTTTGATAAGTCACTTGCTTGGTAATTTTGCGATTTTCGTTTACACTATTTTTACTTGCAACATAAAGTAAATATTTCACCTGAGCATTGCTTTTTTTTATAGTGTGTATATTATTTTACTGTCAAAATGTGTAACATATTTATTAAACGTCTAAATATTCAGTTTTTTTACAAATTGACTGAAAAACATTTCCATCTCTATTATTATGATAACGAATTCCAAACATTTTGATGTTTAATGTCATCACCAAGAGACTGAAAATGTTACGTTGAAAAGTACATTTCTATGTTGTTTGGCTTCTAATCCTACATAATAATCTTTTGTGATGTTTGTAGGCCCTTTTGATTGTATGTTTAGATGTACCGCATGTGTGTTTAGGTATACCACTTGTATGTTTAGATGTACCACGTGTATGCTTAGATGTACCACATGTGTGTGTTTAGATGTACCACTTGTATGTTTAGATGTACCACGTGTATGCTTAGATGTACCACATGTGTGTTAAGATGTACCACTTGTATGTTTAGATGTACCACATGTATGTTTAGATGTACTATTGTATGTTTAGATATAACACATGTATGTTTAGATATACCCTTTTGATAGTCTTAATCAATCTGGACAGATTTTTTTTAGTCAAAATGACTGACTGACTGACTGATATAGAAGACTTAACGTGCGCTTTCCGACTGTAGCGTATTTCGCACACGGCCCTGGCCGGACCATTTAGTGTATTCCGAAAAAGGTGAAAGTGGTGTGTGCAACCCAAGAGGGGGCTTTTAGGGGTTGCTTGTATTGAATTTTTGGAATTTTTAAATTTGGATTAAAGGACTGAAATATTTACACATTTTATAAATTGCCTGAGAGAATCACATTTTACAAATTGACGGTAATATATACACGCTTACAAAGGAAAAGACATGTGAAAACAACGTCTATCGCGCATTGAAGAATTTCCCAACCAAGACGTAGAGAAACAAGAACAAATTATCGGTTCGAATGAAGGAAAACAAAATGCAAATACCATAATTACAACCTACCAAATTTATGTGTATAAATTTTAGGCAGCTTCCTTGTTCGAGGAATGTATCCGTGAATATCCACACAAAGGAACAATATCCCACTCGTCTGCAGCTGTACAAAGAAACTTATTCGATGTCACGTGCCTCTCTAACAATCAAATATTTTAAAAGATATATATCGTATCGGGATATTATAACCCGTGTTCGTTTCTCAACTGATCACTTGGATTGTTTTAGGTGTTTCACATAGGTGTCAAGTCTCAAGGGTCGGCTGAGAAAGCCCACGTGACAACTATTTTCATAACGTCCACGGTTCCTAAAACATCCATTGAGTGATAGATAACAATGATCAATCAATCAACGTATTATCAGTTAACCCTTTGAACAAAGTATGTTGTTTTTACATGGGCACTTCACGCCATGATATGAGTGTATTTCCTTTGTTTTAGTAAACCTAGACATGTAAACACTCACTTTTGACATATCCACTGTGCAAGATAGCAGTGATTAATCAATCAACGTATTTTCTGTTAATCCTTTGATGACTAGGAACGATCCGTTGATATACAAAAAAAAGTAAATCAACTGATCATTCATCTCTTGCTGGGCTGCCACGTGCATATTACATAACACACATTTCACCTCACTTCAAACCTGGATTTAGATTGAATAATTACCCCAGACACAATAAATGCCAAATGGGAACCTTTGTCAGGTAATCTAAGTGATGCTACCACTAATTGTACCTGTAATAAATTTATTAACTGAGCATCAAGTGAATGACGACAAATACACAAGTGTAGGGGTTATACGAGAAAACGTGGATGACAAGGGAGTAGTAATCGTATTATCGACGCAATCCGTAATCCGAAAATGCTTTCACTGCATGGATACTTTTTTTAGTATTAAACTATAACCATCTGGGGTATTTCCAAATGACGACATCCGATGAGCTCCGCCGTTCTTTTTGTCTGTTTGTTTGGGCTGAAGAAATTAATTAACATGCGCCCTTTGTCGAAATCTTTATAGATCACAGTTAACCAATCAGTGTTTATGCAAAAATGCGTAAAACAAATATTGCCTCCAGCCTCCAAGTTTATTTAACTGTCCTTGCAGACGGTAGCCCAGTCTCTGGTCACGCTCAGTTGCGTTGCGTATCATCCGGGTACTCACGGGGGAAAAAACAATAACAAAGGCAACAACCAGTCCGGGGAATTGCGTTAGATCAGTGCCCCTGATGTAATACATGTGTGTGTTTATGTCATCAGTCCCTGGGGCGGGATGTTATCAACTTCTCGACAAAACTTATATCGGGTAGTAGAGCTGTTAATTTCCAATGTTATTTCCCAATGGCAGTGTGAGACAACAAGTAAAAGAAGCGCCCCATAAATGCCTACCTGTTGAGCAGGTGCGCGATTGATTCCTTCCCTTGCAGGAAGTTGACATTGTCAAAGAGACGGATCAACAACATGGCGGCCTCCAGCTGATTTTTTCAAAATACAAAGTAATCTGTCAGACAATCAATATATGTGATCATTCTTCGACAAAAGGTAAATTCGACATAACCAAATTTGTGAATGCCTCTGTACTAAAGGAAATTAAATCCTTTTGTCATAATTAAAACTGTTTTGTTTTTGCAACCAGAGACCACAATCTATTTTATGCTCTCTGCTGTAACGAATCTGTTTTCATCATGTCTATATAATAAGGCATACACTAATTTGCATTTGTGCTCAGCAGACTCAAATGTTAATCCCATGATATTTGTTTTTATAGATATTTAGTTTAATAGGATAAACATTTACTAACTGAATGCATGATTAATTTGGAGCTTGATATTGGCATTGTGATCACAGTTTTCAGATCAATGTAGATGGCATAATTGTTGTAAATATAGATTGTAGCCAGTATCTTATGCATGAATATTTAATCTCTTTGATCAGTGCATAAAAGATCCTATGCATCAAAGCTACATAAACCCCTGTAGGCACAATATCGCTCCAGCATGGTCAGGTTTTAGTTCATATTTATGTTCATTTGTTTTGCGTATATTTGTCCAATTTTGTGATATAATTTGCAAGATTGGATTGTAATATCTGCCAAGTTCTATTTATATGGCAAAACAAACCACTAAACTGTGGAAAGATATCCAATATCCAATATTCATCTTACCTTAAGGGAGTTAAAGGCTGACTATTAAAGGCTGGAGTTATGAAGTTATAGTTTGGCTAGACTAACGAGTCTAAATCGTGTGACGAAATCAACATCCGGTTCGCAAACTGCTGTGCAGATTTTGGTCGTTTGCCGGATTTGCAAAGCACATGTACCGCCAACTTGGCATGAACCGATATTTTCCAAATCATTTCAGGTTTTTATCCCCCGCCGGGCCAGAATGGCCGAAAGGGGATTATGTCGTGGTCCATCCGTCTGTCTGTCTGTCTGTCTGTCTGTCTGTCTGTCCGTCTGTCCATCTGTCTGTCCGTCCAACTGAGGGTACTAAGCTTGTGAAATCAACTCCTCCTACAGTTTCCAGAGAATATCCCTGAAACTCTACACACAAGATGTCGACATGTTGATGATACGCATATCGCAGTCCCGTTTTATTTAGACTAATTTTGACAGAGTTACAGCCCCTGTTTTACGGAGATTCATTTGCCTAATTGTGAGAGAGGGTACTAAGCTTGTGAAATCAACTCCTCCTACAGTTTCCAGAGAATATCCCTGAAACTCTACACACAAGATGTCGACATATTGATGATACGCATATCGCAGTCCCATTTCATTTCGACTAATTTTGACAGAGTTACTGCCCCTGTTTTACGGAGCTTCATTTGCGTAATTGTGAGAGAGGGTACTAAGCTTGTGAAATCAACTCCTCCTACAGTTAAAATGTGCACATGTTTCACATATCCATATCACAGTCACGTTTCATTTCTTTTCATGTTGAGAGAGTTACTGCCCTTGGTTTATGAAGCTCGATTTGCACAACTGTGAGAGAGGGTACTGTTTTTGTGATGTCAACTCCTACATTTGTCAGGAAATATCCCTGACGCTCTACACACACCATGTGTATAAATTTGATTTATTTTAACAGAGTTACTACCCTGGTTTATGATCCTCATTTTTGTCAACTGATACAGGTACAACTTTGCCCCAGGTAACAACCATTATAAAACAATGTCATTTAGTCTCTGTTGTGAAAATGTCACAATATCTAACTATAGTTAGTTTCCTTGTATAAGGCTTTTGTGGGTGAGCTACATCCTTATGGCATTAGCATTCAGACTGGATTACTCCCAGCAAAATGTTCTGCACAATTTGTTTCAAATGCAGTGCCATCTACTGTTGTTATTTCAAAAGATACAAAGAAAATATAAACTTGTTAAAAAATTCATGCGGGGGATGTTGTGCTCTCAGAGCACTCTTGTTAATTAAGGTGCACACCTGATTTGATTCACTTTGCGATGTAAGACCTGTTAATCATATTATTGATTTGGATTATCTATCAGAGTGTTTTGACTGGGCGCCACTATTTTGCTTTAAGCAAATGCAAATCATATGAGAAATGGAATCTGATTGGTCAATAGAGGGGACATAAAAAGGACATAACTCATAATAGCCACTGGTACCGCTACAATCAAGCCCAGAAATTCCGGCCTTGTTTGGCAAGGCTGACAACTGGACTGTAACAGTCAGTTAATTCCCTTGCCTCACAAAGATGTCCAATATTAGACTACTGACATATATACTCTGAAAAAAAAGAAACATAACAGTAGTAAAATAGTAAATATCTGACAGAGTGTTGCCGATATCCATACAAAGTTAATATAAAAAATGAATTGGTCATTTCTGCATGGATGGGGATTGATTTGCGTGGAAAAAATGAGGTACTGCAGAACTTTGGTGAAAAGATGGAAAAATCATGAAAACACAACCACATGAGAGCCTGGTGCTGGAACACACCAACATGACATGCATACGCACGTGCAGCATTACATGTTAGGCTATAAAAACGTTGGGTTTTGATTTGCATGTCATCGCGCTAGACGACCAGTTTGAGGTGTCATTTACATGGTCGGCTGCAACGTCAATGGTGTCAAGGTCACAGAGTATTGCCACAACTGCAATGGAGACAACTTAGGTTTAGTGATGGGTCAAGTTTTATGCTTCAGCATGCCAAAACGTAGACATGTTTACAGGTGTTGTGGGGAATCTTATGCACGAAACTGCTTACAGGAAGTGGACAGATTTGGTGGTGGTAGTGTGATGACGTGGGTAGCCATCACCTACACTGGTAAAACAGACATGGTGAATTTAATGGTACAATCTTATATGGATGAAATTTTTAGGCCACACGTTCTTCCCAGCAAACGTCATTTTTCAACAAAACGACATCCAACTTCACACGGATAGACTGACAACAGCCTTTTACAAGAATCGCAATATCAAGATCCTGCCATGGCCCTCCTCCAGGTCTTCAGATTTAAACCCATCGGATCATTTATGGGTTGCTCTGGATCATCGACTCAAGCAATAACCACAGAATCTCCAACAGTTGGCCCCAACACTGCAGACAGAACATTCCCCAGGCCACAATTCGGGATCTCATTGCTTCCATTGCACAATGCCTGTCAGCTTTTACTCTCATGGTGGCCATACAAGATACAAGATATTGAGAACAGATGACCTTCACCTTGAAAATCTAATGTTCCATGTGTGTCATATGGAACCTGGGTCAATGACAATGATGTTTGCCAATTTTCAACAATTGATTACCAACTGTTGATTATTTATATGATATATAAAATATACATCTAAAATCACTTTTGTGTTGTTGTTTTTTGCAGAGTATATAACCAATTAGCCATCTCTGTCGGAATGTCCTTTAGACTTTCTCAAGTTGAAATAACATCTAACAATACCCAATGTAACAAAGTCTTGATGAACCCATGATGCATATTGACATCACATGCATTTGAAGTGATATGCAATGTATCAACATGTTAATTTTGGAATCAGTCCATTAATAGCTTAATATTATATATAATTGTAAAGCACTTGCATATTTTCAAATATTTTCAGGGTTTGACATATTATGCCACAAGGGGATGTGTTTACTGGAAATGAAGATTATTTAACAGGATTTAAAAACTATATGATCCTGTATACTAAGGATATAAGCGTACTGTGTTTTCAATGTAGAGCTAGGTCCGATTGCAGATTTAACCCTGCTAAATTGAATTTGGAACCAACCGTGCAGGGTGAGGTTTCAAATGTTAAGTTTAGCACAGTTAAATCTACAGGTAACCTAGTTCTATATTGAAAACATTTTCATTTCAGGGGTAATAAATCGGGTTTGTCTTCCAAAAGGACAAAATTAAGCCAGGTGCACCAGGTGGACTAAACAAGGTCCTGTTTCAGGTTTCTGTGACGATGAGCGCCGTGGACATCCTGCCGCCTCGGTTCTCCCCCCATCGTGGGACAGTTGCTGGAGATCTTGCTGTCCGCGGTTCCCCTGTAACACAGCACACACACAGCAACAACACATACCCACCAGCAACAAACACACGACCAAGGTGAGTGTGGTTCCTTAAAATTTTTTTATCCAAATAAACATATATATATTCATTTGTTTTTCATATTATTGGATACAAAATATAAACCTCACTTGCTGGTGATGGTTGACCTGTCTGTCGACTTCAATGGCCATACTGAGAGTCTGCTTATCCTACAGTTTTTATACAGAAATATTGTTCATGTTACTCAAATCCTGTACACCCCACTAGTGACACGTATTACTCAAATCCTGTACACCCCACTAGTGACACGTGTTACTCAAATCCTGTACATCACACTAGTGACACGTGTTATGCAAATTCTGTACATCCCACTAGTGACACGTGTTAATCAAATCATGTACACCCCACTAGTGACACGTTACTCAAATCATGTGCACCCCACTAGTGACACGTGTTACTCAAATCCTGTACACCCCACTAGTGACACGTATTACTCAAATCCTGTACACCCCACTAGTGACACGTGTTACTCAAATCCTGTACATCACACTAGTGACACGTGTTACTCAAATCCTGTACATCCCACTAGTGACACGTGTTACTCAAATCATGTACACCCCACTAGTGACACGTGTTACTCAAATCATGTACACCCCACTAGTGACACGTGTTACTCAAATCATGTACACCCCACTAGTGACACGTGTTACTCAAATCATGTACACCCCACTAGTGAAACGTGTTACTCAAATCATGTACACCCCACTAGTGACACGTGTTACTCAAATCCTGTACACCCCACTAGTGACACGTATTACTCAAATCCTGTACACCCCACTAGTGACACGTGTTACTCAAATCATGTACACCCCACTAGTGACACGTGTTACTCAAATCATGTACACCCAAATAGTGACATGTGTAACTCAAATCATGTACACCCCAGTAGTGACACGTGTTACTCAAATCATGTACACCCCACTAGTGAAACGTGTTACTCAAATCATGTACACCCCACTAGTGACACGTGTTACTCAAATCATGTACACCCCACTAGTGACACGTATTACTCAAATCCTGTACACCCCACTAGTGACACGTGTTACTCAAATCCTGTACACCCCACTAGTGACACGTGTTACTCAAATCATGTACACCCAAATAGTGACATGTGTAACTCAAATCCTGTACACCCCACTAGTGACACGTGTTACTCAAATCATGTACACCCAAATAGTGACATGTGTAACTCAAATCATGTACACCCCAGTAGTGACACGTGTTACTCAAATCATGTACACCCCACTAGTGACACATGTTACTCAAATCATGTGCACCCCACTAGTGACACGTGTTACTCAAATCATGTACACCCCACTAGTGACACGTGTTACTCAAATCATGTGCACCCCACTAGTGACACGTGTTACTCAAATCCTGTACACCCCACTAGTGACACGTGTTACTCAAATCCTGTACACCCCACTAGTGACACGTGTTACTCAAATCATGTACACCCCACTAGTGACACGTGTTACTCAAATCCTGTACACCCCACTAGTGACACGTGTTACTCAAATCATGTACACCCCACTAGTGACACGTGTTACTCAAATCCTGTACACCCCACTAGTGACATGTGTAACTCAAATCATGTACACCCCACTAGTGACACATATTACTCAAATCCTGTACACCCCACTAGTGACACGTGTTACTCAAATCCTGTACATCCCACTAGTGACACATGTTACTCAAATCATGTACACCCCACTAGTGACACGTTACTCAAATCATGTACACCCCACTAGTGACACGTTACTCAAATCATGTACACCCCACTAGTGACACGTGTTACTCAAATCCTGTACACCCCACTAGTGACACGTGTTACTCAAATCATGTACACCCCACTAGTGACACGTGTTACTCAAATCATGTACACCCCACTAGTGACACGTTACTCAAATCATGTACACCCCACTAGTGACACGTGTTACTCAAATCATGTACACCCCACTAGTGACACGTTACTCAAATCATGTACATCCCACTAGTGACACGTGTTAATCAAATCATGTACACCCCACTAGTGACACGTGTTACTCAAATCATGTACACCCCACTAGTGACATGTGTAACTCAAATCATGTACACCCCACTAGTGACACGTGTTACTCAAATCATGTACACCCCACTAGTGACACGTGTTACTCAAATCATGTACACCCCACTAGTGACACGTGTTACTCAAATCATGTACACCCCACTAGTGACACGTGTTACTCAAATCATGTACACCCCACTAGTGACATGTGTAACTCAAATCATGTACACCCCACTAGTGACACGTTACTCAAATCATGTACACCCCACTAGTGACACGTGTTACTCAAATCATGTACACCCCACTAGTGACACATGTTACTCAAATCATGTGCACCCCACTAGTGACACGTGTTACTCAAATCATGTACACCCCACTAGTGACGCGTGTTACTCAAATCATGTACACCCCACTAGTGACACGTGTTACTCAAATCATGTACACCCCAGTAGTGACACGTGTTACTCAAATCATGTACACCCCACTAGTGACACGTGTTACTTAAATCCTGTACACCCCACTAGTGACATGTGTAACTCAAATCATGTACACCCCACTAGTGACACGTGTTACTCAAATCCTGTACATCCCACTAGTGACACGTGTTACTCAAATAATGTACACCCCACTAGTGACACGTTACTCAAATCATGTACACCACACTAGTGACACGTGTTACTCAAATCATGTACACCCCACTAGTGACACGTGTTACTCAAATCATGTACACCCCACTAGTGACATGTGTAACTCAAATCATGTACACCCCACTAGTGACACGTGTTACTCAAATCATGTACACCCCACTGGTGACAAATGTTACTCAAATCATGTACACCCCACTAGTGACACGTGTTACTCAAATCATGTGCACCCCACTAGTGACGCGTGTTACTCAAATCATGTACACCCCACTAGTGACACGTGTTACTCAAATCCTGTACACCCCACTAGTGACACGTGTTACTCAAATCATGTACACCCCACTAGTGACACGTGTTACTCAAATCATGTACACCCCACTAGTGACATGTGTAACTCAAATCATGTACACCCCACTAGTGACACATATTACTCAAATCCTGTACACCCCACTAGTGACACGTGTTACTCAAATCCTGTACATCCCACTAGTGACACGTGTTACTCAAATCCTGTACACCCCACTAGTGACATGTGTAACTCAAATCATGTACACCCCACTAGTGACACATATTACTCAAATCCTGTACACCCCACTAGTGACACGTGTTACTCAAATCCTGTACACCCCACTAGTGACACGTGTTACTCAAATCCTGTACACCCCACTAGTGACACGTGTTACTCAAATCCTGTACACCCCACTAGTGACACGTGTTACTCAAATCCTGTACATCCCACTAGTGACACGTGTTACTCAAATCCTGTACACCCCACTAGTGACATGTGTAACTCAAATCATGTACACCCCACTAGTGACACATATTACTCAAATCATGTACACCCCACTAGTGACACATATTACTCAAATCCTGTACACCCCACTAGTGACACGTGTTACTCAAATCCTGTACATCCCACTAGTGACACGTGTTACTCAAATCCTGTACACCCCACTAGTGACACGTGTTACTCAAATCATGTACACCCCACTAGTGACACGTGTTACTCAAATCATGATTACTTATATTTCAAGCCACCCAGGCCAAAGGGGCAGTAAGACAATCACCGATCTGTGGACTGGTCCACGGACACACAGTGATATGTCAGTTGAAACTACTCCGTCAGTGGTATCCCACGGAAACAGAAACATAGAGCGGAGACTGGTCTCTCCATCCTGGACCCATTCATGAACCTATCAGGGCTTGCACAGGTCAACATTGTTAGACGTTAGTACCTGAGAGGTGAGACCCAGCTCATACTCATGACCCTGACAGGACATCCTTGTTGAATATTTTCACATCAGCACCAAATTGGTACCTTATGGCTACTGTATATGACTGTGTATAAGCTGATTTTATGGGCTCAAACCTATTTTTTCTGTGGAATCAGGTCAGCCTAACTAGGAGTCATACTTTCTTGCTAGTATCTTTCTGGTTGGGTAGCCTGAACCATGCACTGGGAGAGATCGGTGAAGTGGAGTGCAGCCCAGAAGGGATCCTTGCCCATATGTGTTCCCGATAAACAGAAAGACACTAGTGACACGTGTCATGTAAAGAAAGAAACCCCAGACAAAATAGCTACATTAAATTGTTAAAATATTATTTTGATATGAAGGAATGCAACATCTTTAAAATATAATTACTTATCACTAACATTATGTACAACATAGCAAAACGACAATACCTGTCATGTTTCTCACATGCTTGGATTGAAAACAACATACACAATATGTACACACTAGAATTACACGTATTTTTGACACTAAGTAAGTTTACTGATAACCTATTGTCAAATAGGAAGTGAAAATACATGTACCAAGTTGTTGACGCCGCATGTGCGTTTTTCAATTATCGATCATGTGTCAAACGCATATCATGTGACTTCCTTCTCTACGTCATTGATGCACGAATGCCATAAAAGGAATAACGTTACTACAACTAACAACAATTTCATCCACAAATTTGCGCTTCCCATCACCATAGCCTGAGGTGGCTTGGTGAAACCGGAATCTAAGCCCAGCAATCACAAAGCGTCTGTAGTCTACGATGATCGAAGGTGCTGTAACCTCACATCTACCTCCAGCTGCAGTAGCATTAAGATTGCTGTTGAAACAGGTGAAGGATGAATTTGGAATTGAGAAGGTTGCTTAACTACTGTTAATGCCAGCAATATGTCACTAGCGGCAAAGTTAGCTGGGTATTCCCGTTGCGTTTCTATGCCCACACCCTCCAGCTCGCTGTCCAGGAAGGTCTGAAGCTTAATGCAATTGCCAACATGCTAATGTTTGCTCATAAAATCGTAGCAT